AACTTAATCTTACACCGCACAGATCTAAGAAGACACCCAAAAAATCACCAATTTCCATAGGTTCTCCAAAAACACACTCAATAGCTGTACCGAAGCTACTTAAAAGTCCACGAAAGTTATCTCTTGCTGCCACAGGTGAGGATTCTGAAGAGAGTTTAGAAAAATCAGATAGTGATTCTCACAGTAAGAAATCACAAAAGAGCAAAAAGAAGACTCTAGACAATAGTTCCAAGTCCGATAGAAATGCATCAACAGCAAAAAATAATCGCAAAAAGTCTAACTTAAATTTAATTTTACATAAATTCTCAAAATCTCCGAAAATAGTGTTGAAGTCTCCAAAATCGAAAAAATCAAAATCACATAAACTGAAATTATTATCTCCATCCCGGATGGAAAAGAGTCCGGAAAAAACGCCTTCTATTAGTCCTAATACTACTCCAAATCTTGAGAATGACAAATCGTCCAAAATTAGCCTAAAAAAATCTCCTTTATCCAAGGGAAAGAATTTATCATCAATTAAAAATCTAAGTCCAAAATTAACAAAGATATTGACGGCTTCACAAATAAAAGATATGCTAGCTGAACCAGTAGTGATATTAGATAAGTTATCGCCTGAACATGTGAAACAAAAACATGTGGCCGCTTGTAAAACTTCAGATACTTCGATCAAAATAAGATCTCCCTCAAATGGGACAAGAAATTTGAAGGTAATAATAATACCAGTTGAGGATCACGTTTCTGCAGGTACGTCTACTAACCGAAATTCTAATTCTGAATTAAGAAGTAATAGTATGGGGATACCACGAATTACCACGAATACTAACAGAACATCAAGAATTAAATATAATGCATTAATACAAGGAAAGGCACCCTTAGTGTCGTCCACTCCACGAAAGGAAAACATGATATCAAGAAACAATAGTTTGTCTGATACTTCTATTGGTTCTATAAATAATACTTCTCTTAATACTAGATCAAGACATAGGAATCAATCCAATATATTAGCTAATACAATGGATAAAAACACAGATATTGAAAATGTATCTTCACCTTCTCTTTTTGATGATAAAGAAATTAGTAATACTCTCGAAATTAGTCAATTTCCCCTTGTAAATGTCACGAAACTAAACATTACTTACGATAAGGATAATTCAATGGAGAAGAAGCAAGAGAACAATACCTATGAATTGGAACAACCACAGACACTAAACTTACGACAAATGATTAGAAAGCGCAGTTCAGCAGACGCAAACTTAAGTATCTTGAAAGATAACGTTAAAAAAGCTAAAGTGCGTTTTGCAGATATATCATCTAACGCAAATAGTTCACGAAATTCAATTAACAAGCTGAACGGATCACGATCGAGTATATCACATAATACTAATGCACAGCATAAAAACAATGTTATGAATTCAACACAAAAATCGAAAAAGGCTGAAACTGCAAAATTTACTCGGAATTCGCTGATTTCTCCTTTCAAGAGTTCAAATCTAAAAATACACAGAGGCACATCGGTAGTTCAATTAAATGCAATTCAAGCAACACCAAAAACCTTTGCATCAATTGAAAAGAAATCAGGTAAAATGAAACAAAAAATCGCTCGTATTTTAGATTTTATTTTATATTGTAATAACCGATTTATTTTCAGAGAAAAAATCATCGTTGAAAAAAGTACCAAATTTCGGAAGGATACATGAGCAAATGTTTGCTAAATCAGAATCGCTTGTAGATGCAAAGAAACGTTTGGAAGCTAGACATTTAGCGTTCAGTAATTTGATAATATTATTATTCTGCATACGTCGACAACTTTTATAAATGCTAATAATTTTGCATAAATCATTTTTGTAGCTGCTAACCAATCATTTTCAAAAGATAGAAAGTCGGAACAGAAGAAACCATTACCAAGCGACACTAAAGATGGAATTCATAACAGATATGGATTTAAATTGAAAAAGTCAGAAGCTACGCATCTTATATTGAGAAAACAAACTGTTTTTTCAAGGTACACTAAATTTATTTTAAGAAAAATATTTTATAGCAGTTTATTTACAAAATGTGTTTTTATCCATAAGCTTAAGATATATAATTTGAGTTTTATTAAATTTTATTGAAGCTATAGGATTAATGATGACGAAAGCATTTAAATGCTAAATTAAATAATGTACTTATAGATCTATGTTTAAGAAACTTTAAAATAATTCAATATAAAATTTTATGAAATTGTGATTATTTGTAGGCAAAAACAGCAACATGAAACGCGGATGATACTAAAGGGTGTACGAACAAATCGACGGTTTGAACTGCAAATGAAGTCTCGAAATATAAATTTATGAAGAAGTGGTTTTATAACATGTACCTCGATCTTTCGTTTTGTTAATGTAGTTTATTATATAAGTTTTTCTTTCTCTTGAAATTTGAAAGCATTTTTTACTAATAATAATTACAAATTTTAGGAGAGAGAAGAATTTCAAGAAATACTTAAAGTATTTTATTTAATTATATTCATATAAATATTAAGAAACGCGTGTATTATATGCTATCCTTTCTTCTTCTAAGGGAAAAACTAAAAAAATTTTTCTATATATATATGTAAAATTGATTTGTTATATCCGTAAATGAAAATTTTACAAAATTAGCTATAGTGAGATTAATTATATTTTCTCTTTTTTAATGTGAAGTTGAGGAATAAACAGTTTAAGATCTTTTACAAAGTTACATAATTTTTGGAGGAATTTTATATGTCAAAATGAAATGAAATTTGGAATTATGTTAATATTAATTTATATAGAATCCACTAAAAATTCAGAAATGAAGATAGCTCGTTAACGATCAACTATGGCGAAAAATATATAAAAAGCAAAGTTGTAGGAAATTACTTTACTACAAAAATTGTATCTATGTCTTGTTATATTTGATCATTTTCAAGATATTTTTATTCATTTTTGGATTTTTGGACGACCGTCAATATACCGGGACAACAAATGATTTAATACTTAATAATATTAACTTCAGATATTTATAAGTATTATATATTTGTATGAATTGTTTTTAAGTCATGGACCATTTTTAAATGTGTTAAAATTTTAATAAGTCAGTTCTGTGTGTTTCACACATAAAACTTACTTTCAACAGCTTTTATTTATAAATAATTCATAAACGCAATATAGTTTGATTTATCTGTATAATTAATATTCGCTTTTAACTGTTAATTAAACTGTTAATAATGTTATTACTAAATAAGCTCGTATCAAGATTACTATATAATAAAAATGCTCTGGCGCATCTTGGATATCTATATGAACTGTAAAATTACTTTTCATAATCTCAGAGAATGTAATTTGAAAGTTATTTCTAAAAGTTTGTTTTTCTTGTGTGTATATTACATATATATGTACAGGATGAGCGTTACTTAATATCTGATAGCCATAGCTTTTTATTTATTAATTTTAAAAATATTTTTGATTTTAAAAAATAGCGTGGCCAGAAAGAGCTATGTATCGCATCATCGAATGAAAAAATGTTTCAACACAAAGAAGACACGTGAAGGCCAGTCGCTTTTTTCCTATCAAATAGTTAGAAAATTAAAATAACATTATAACATGTAATAACGGTTTGCCTATCGATTTCTCTGTTGTAATACAGAAAGATAAATTTTAAATATTTATGATACACGAGGCCAGAACAAATCTTAATTAAGGCCTGAACTTTTAATTTTATAAGCTAAGATCTTTTTAATGAGAGTGATAGATTATTAAGAAACTTGTATAATTTATATCTGAAATGTTTGCTAAGAAAAAATAAATTTTAAGTAATGCTGGTCTTTAAGGTCTCTAAAACTTTTTTTAATGAGAACTCCGACTAAGTAAGATGGCGAGAAATGTGATTGTATATATTAATGTTTCGCTCTAAAAAAAAAAAAAGAAAAAGTTAATGTAATCTAGGAAAGAAGGTGTAGGAAAGTAAAATATGTGTTTCAATAAAGTTTCTTTCTATCTTTGTCAACTGTTTCTAATATATTTCCGTTGATGAAAATATCCAAGGAAAAGAAGCGGTATAAAAGAGGAATCTTATTTGTATTTCTCCTTATTTTTGTATGGAATTACTTAATCAGTACTTCTGAGGCAAAACGATCTGTTACGAGACATTACGATTTTATTTTTAATGATATATACTTATAATTATTTCATTATAGCTGGATAAAATCTCGAATATAACCCTCTGAAACTGACGGCAAAATCTATAATGATGGTAGATCTGTGATCCATTTAATTGTTGATAAAATATGTTGATTAAAAGACACTAATTAATTTCAAGAAACCAAAAATGACATAACTCATATAAAAAAGAATGAATACATTTAATATACTGTCGATACAGGTGTCTTTCTATTTTTATTGTTCATTGAATTCAAGAAAGATAGAATAATGTTTGTGTCGCCTAAAAGGAAAGTAGCCTGTGTCATCCACACACAGATTTCTATGCATCCACATGTAAGTTTGTGCATTTACAGTTGCTTTCTTTTTAGAGAAAAACAAGATGCTTTCCAGCAAGAGACAAATGACAGTGCAACACAGTGAATCATTTTATCTTTGTTCATTTTTCCTTTTAGGAGATACAATTATTACTGATTATTCTATCTAATCTTTGTTAGCTTATTCATTGAACATCAAGAAGGATAGAATAATCTTAATACAGAGCTCTTAAGTAGCCTGTGTTATTTGAGTTCCTTGCTGCAAAACCCCCATTGAATGGACCCAATAAATTCACCATCAGTTTCAGAGGGTTAAAGTTGAATTATGAATGTGATCTCTGAATACCTGGCGACAAACACGACAGAATCTCTTCGCGATCTTATCATGTCTGGATATTTGCAGATATGTAATCGTCTGTGACTACGATCCTCATTATGGAAAGGTGGACGCGGTTTGAGAATTCGAGATCGCCGCGAGACGAAACACGTGTTGCGCACGCGCACTCGGTGGCGCAAGGTAGCCACCACATGGGGGCAAAATCGCGTCGGAATTCACGGACGGCTGTCACTGCTTTTTCGTGACAGATGTTTTGCGCGATTAATCCGCTTTGTTAATTCGCGATCGCGCGGTCGCGAGCGTGCACGGATACACGAATCTCCTTCTTCCGCGATTTTTCGTGCGCGGTAAAGCCACGCGTCACTGCCCGTCTGTGTTGTCATCGTGTCTCAAAAGTCGAGATCCCGTCGGGAGAGTCAGGAGCAGACAGAGAAGGAGAGAGAGAGAGAGAGAGAGAGAGAGAGCGAGAGAGAGCGAGAGCGAGAGCGAGAGAGAGCGAGAGCGAGAGAGCGAGCGCCACCGGAGGAAGGAGAACGCGCCTCATCAAATGTCTCGGGGACGAGACGGTTAGATATCTTCGGTGGTAAGCGGAGAAAGAGAGAGAGAGAGAGAGAGAGAGAAGACATCGAGAGGGAGAAAGATAGAGTGACTTGGCCAGCTGGTGTGGCTTGCGAATTCGTGGACCCGTCACAAACGCCAAGAAGCATCGTCCGCGAAGCGCCCGAAACTCGTGGTGAGCGATAATAATCGCTCGGGGAAGCTCAGCGGCGGCTGCGACGATCCCGTGTCATCATCGCAGCGACAATGGCAAAGACATACGATTATTTATTCAAGCTGCTGCTGATCGGCGACTCCGGCGTGGGCAAGACTTGCGTGCTGTTCCGGTTCTCCGAGGACGCGTTCAACACCACCTTCATCTCGACCATCGGTACGTTTGTGTCGGTACACGTTTCTCCCCCACTTCCCCGCGATCTCCGTCTCATTTCTACGTTTATTAATCGCTGCCTACGACGACCGGGGTGTGTCTCTCTCGAGAAAATGGGCTGAATGTTATTTGATAATGGACAAAGAGCACATTATGCTGTGCCATTTACAGTAATGTGATTCATCCTATGCCGCATGCTGTCCGACCTCGATCGCTGCTTTCCGTTTCCCCGTATCTCCGGAAAGTAACTGGAATCTTGA